AGAGGGACATCATGCTTGGGAGGGTGGAGGGACAGCGCAGGAGGGGAAGACCCTCTATGAGATGGATTGATTCGGTGACTGGGGTAATCAGGATGAGTGTGTCAGAGGCAGTGCGGTTGGCGCAGTACAGAGCAGGGTTTAGGGCTGTTGTGCATAGGGTCGCTATGAGTCGCAAATGACTCGATGGCACATAACAACAACAACATCATTTACATTGTGTTTTGTACAATCTTTCCTTTACATTGTTTCATACATTTATATACATTGTATTTCATAGGATTACTGTTGGTCTATGTCCTTTATTACTCTGTCTTTTCAAGTCCACATTGAATCTTTCCTATTCCTTCACTACTGCTCCATCTGCCCATTAAACTCTGCTATCCTAGTAATTTCTGCACCCTATACCTACCTAACCCCTTTTCACTGTTGGACATTTGCACACGTCTTGCTCAGCTATCCTATTGTTATAGTAATGGTCTTATGCAGTATTTGTCTTTATGAGACTGAGTTATGTCACTCAGCATAATGCTATCTTGACTCTCCCATATTATATAGTATTTTACGAAGTCATTGCTACTTAGTGCTGCAAGATATTTTGTTGTGGGGATGTAGCACAATTTCTCAGTCCATTCATTTGTCGTTGGGCATTTGGACTGTTTACTTTTTCTATTGTGAGTACACTGTTATGAACATAGGAGTAAAATCTCAGTCCTTGGGGTCTATTCCTAGCAGTGGAATAACTGGATCATATGGCATGTTTACCTTTTTTGAGGAAATGCCAAACTGCCTTCCAGAGGGTTTGTACCGTTTTACAACCCCACCAGCAGTACATGATAGTTCCAGTTTCTCCATACCTTCTCCAGCATTATCGCTTGCTGTCCTGTTAAACTTTGCTACTGCTACTGGGGAAGATGGTTGACAGCATCTGATGTAGCCTGCCTCTCCAAAGGCATCTCGTCTCTGCAGAGCCCTCCAGTGGCAGGAGGCTGGTAACAAGAAACCAAGCAAAGCCCAAACCAAATTGACTGTCTTTGAGTTGGTTCCCACTCAGAGCAAGCGTCCATCACCTTTCTGAGGGCATACATTTTTACGAGAGGAGTCTGCCCATCTTTCTTCCAAGGAGCAGCTGGTAGATTCCACCTGATGATCTTTCACATTGCAGCTTAATACACTATGAACTACGAAAACCTTGTTGCCGTCAAGTCAGTTCTAACTCATTGAGGACAGAATGGAACTGTCCAGAAGGTGTTCAAGGCTATTAATTTTTACAAATGTAGACTGCCATCTTTTTGTCCTGCAGAGCAGGTGGTGGGTTTGAACCACTTACCTTTCAGTCAACAGCTGAGAGTTTAATCTCTGCTCCACAAGTCTCAAGAGGTTTGCTACTGCTTTTAAGAGATCCTAACAAAATGACCCTGGGGTGGTACTCACTAATGATGAAACACATGATTGAAATGTCAGTTGCTTTGGCCTTCGGTGTATCTAATGTTCCTGCTCTTCCCTCCATCACCAACAGCATGGCTTATTCTGAAGAATATGGAGGAAACCCTTGTGGTTTCATCCGCCAGAATTCTGGCAACTCCATCTCTTTGGACTTTGAGCCCAACACCGAGTACCGGTTTGTGGAGCTGTTAGAGGAACGCTACAAATGTGCCTTCTGCCACTCTGTGCTTCACAACCCCCACCAGACAGGGTGCGGGCACCGCTTCTGCCACCACTGCATCCTGTCCCTCAGGTGAGCTCGCCGGACCTGCAGCCCTGGCTAGGCCAGAGGAGCATTATGGCCAGGGTAGCCATGGGGGTCTGGCAACCACGGGGGTCTGGCATCTGAGAGAGTGCCTGCAATCTAGTGGGTGTAGGGAGTGGGGATGTCAGAGATCTTAGTGAGTATCATATAGAGTTGGGAGTACTTGGGCTCTAAATGGGTGTAGGATGGGGTATCTGAGATCTTTGTGGGTATAGTGTAGGGGGTGGGATCTCTGGGATCTCAGTGGACACTGGAGTGGAAGTGTCTGGGAAAAATGGGTAATGTTGAGGGTGTCTGGGATCTTAGTATGTGTAGGGAGGGGAAGTGTGTGAACTCTGTGTGTGGGAGGTGGAATGATCTGGGACCTGTAGTATGTATATGTGTGTGGGTGTGTGGGTGTCTGGGATCTAAGAGTGTATAAGGGATACAGGGGCCCTTGGGGTCTGTGTGTCAGCCATGGCAGTTTAGTTGTACTCGGGTTTTTTGGAACTGCTGTGGTCACCCACAGAAGCCTGGTTATGAGAAAGGGCACTCCTAGGACAGCTCCTTGAGGGCCTAAGGGTCATCTTCACGTTTTGCCATTTATTTATAGATATTTACCTTCTCTGAAATTCAGGCTCCTCCATTGAGGCATGTGAGGACAAGCCTAGGCACAGTACGAGTTAAGGAGTTAGCAGCTGGCAAGGACCAGAATCTTTGCTGTAGTCACCTTGCTTTTCTTTCCATGCTCTAAGGCTGAGGAAAAATGCATCCTGAAGGAACCTCACCTCGTAGATGTTGTCCCTTTGGGGAATCTGTAAACCTGGGACATGCTATTTTGAGGGTGGATACCAGAAAGAGATGGAAACAGACTTGCAGGGGGAGCAGTAAGTTTGCTATTGCACTCAGCCAGGCTGTGGAGGGAGATCACTGAGGTCATGTTGTTTACAGCACATTCTCATTCACCCCTGCTTATTCATCTGCACCTGCGCGTTCCAGGCACTTTGCCGAGCTCCAGTGTACAGAGTTGAAGCTCTGGAGGTGCACTGTGGAGCAGGGCCCCAGGGCTGTCCTCGAGCACTCCCCTCTCCAATGAAGGAGACAGATCAGAAGCCAGCATGATAAGCAGAACGCTGTTCAAAAAGCCCTGGGAGCCCTGGACCCTGGAGGTGCAGAGTTTGACTGGGGTCCTGGAGGATGAGTAGGAGTTCTTCAGCCTGGGGAGTTACGGTGGGGACTCTGAGCAGAGAGGAGGAAGGAAAGGGTCTGGCTTGTTGAGGGGAGGCCTCAGGGGTTAGTGTGTAGCTGCAACACTAGGCCAGCACTTGGAAAAGTGTTGCAGTAGATACCTGACATTGGCTTCATTTTTCTTTTTCTCTCCAGGGAATTAAATGCAGTACCAATCTGCCCTGTAGATAAGGAGGTTATCAAAACTCAAGAGGTAAGAAATCACAGCCTTGGCTTAGCAGCTCTCTGGGTGATGGAGAAGCCAGCACCCACTTTGAACTGGGTGCTGTTTGGAGCAGGAGTGTGGAAAGTGGGGACACTTCTTGATCTTCATACCCTCTGCTGTGAGGTCAGGTCAGGCCCCAGGCCCACAGCCTTTTGGAGTCTTCACTGAGCCCACAAGTCTCCTGTCTGACTTCCTCTTTTTATACAAGTTCTGGGCACTTTCAGTGTTTCAAAATGAAAACATCCTGTTTCCTGGAATTCCCTTTCTCACTGGTTAATCCCTAAAACACTCCTTATTTATTATTATGAGTAATAAGAGTTGTTTTATTGAGATAGAATTCACATACCCTAAAGTTTACCTTTTGTAGTTTCCAGCCTGCTTGTTATTGTACAGCTATCCCCTCTGTCTAATTTTAGGATTTTGTCATCACCCCCAAAAAGAAACTCATACTCCTCAGCAGTCATTCTGCATCCTCTACTCCCTGTTCCTGGCAGTCATTAATCTACTTAGTCTCTATTGGATTACTTCCTCTAGATATTTCATATGTGATACAGCATATGTCAGTAATTAGTTCTTTTTTGTGGCCAAATGAAATTCCCCATTTGGTTTATCCATTCGTCCTTTGATGGATGATCAGGTTGTGCTCTTTGGCCGCTGTGATTAATGCTGGCTGTGGACATTCATGCACAGGTTTTGCCTGCGTATCTGTTTTTGCTTTCTTTAGTAACATATAGGTGTGAACTTCTAGGTCATATGATAATTCTATTTTAACATTTAGAGAACTACTTGTGAGGAACTCTGTTGGCACAATGACTAACCACTCACCTACTAACTAAAAGGTCTTAAGTTCAAACCCTTGAGCCACTCTGAGGAAGAAAGAAGTAACTGTCTTTCTGTGTAATGAGTTACAGCCTTGAATGCCCTCATTGGCAGTTCTGCCCTATCCTCTAGGCTCACTGCGAGGAGAGATAGACTTGACAGCCGTGGGTTGCCTCTGAACCTGTTTTCCAAAGTGGCTGCACCATTTTATAATCCCAGCAATGCATGAGCGTTCCAAAGTTTCTTCACATCTTCCTGAAAGTTACCTTATCTTTTTGTTAGAACCGTCCAAGTAGATGTGACAGGAGCTCTAACGGCCTTCTGGGTAAGGAGTTAAACTGCCAGCCAGCCCAGAGACGCACAGTTTAAATTCGCCAGCTGCTCCATGAAGAGAGGACAGTTTCCTCTCATGTGATTTACAGCCTCTGAAAACCCACTGCAGGGTCGGCTATGGGTCACTTCCAACTCGGTGTTGCAGAACAGCAACAGCAGTAGATGTGGAGTGGCGTCTTCTTGTGCATTTGGTTATGCATTTCTCTGATGACCCATGATGTTACGATTTTTCCCCCCCTGTGCCTATTGGCAACTTTACATGTTGTCTTTGGAGAATGCCTGTTCAAATCCTTTGTCTTATTTTAAAAAATTGTACTGTTTTGTTCTTTTATTGTGGAGCTGTGAGTGTTCTTTTATATGTTGTTGTTATGTGCCATCAAGTCGCTTGTGACTCATACTGACCCTACGTACAAGAGATCTATACGCTCTTCTACCCTGTGCCAACCTAGCCATCTCAAACTCACTTATTCCCACCTCTCTAGTCACCGAATCGATCCATCTCATCAAAGGCCTTCCTCTCCTTCGCCGCCCCTCCACTCTGCCAAACATGATGTCCCTCTCCAAGGACCAGTCCCTCCTTGCAACATGCCCCAAATATGTCAGACGAAGCTTCAGAATCCTTGACTCCAGGGAACATTCTGGCTTCACCCTCTCCAAGACAAACCTGTTTGTTCTCCTAGCAGTCCAACACTCTTCTCCAGCACCACAGCTCAAAGGCATCAATTCTCTTTCTATCACCCCTAGTCACTGTCCAACTCTCTGATGCATAGCACATAATTGCAAAGACTATAGCCCGGATCAGGTGCACCTTAGTCTCCAGCCTGACGTCGTTGCTCTTCAGTACTCTTGAGAGGTCTCTCACAGCCGACTTACATATATTCTGCATCTAAATCCCTTGTAATAGATATAATTTCTAAGTATTTTCTCCTTTTTTGTGGGTTATGTTTTCTTGATTTGATATCCATTGAAATAACAGAATTTTTCATTTTATGAAATCTAATTTATATTTTCTTTTCCTTGATATTTTTGTGCTCTTGGTATCATACATAAGAAACCTTTGCCTAATTCAAGGTCATGAAGATTTCTTCGTTCTTTTTTTATTATTTTTTTTTTTTAGATTTCTTCATTCTTTTAACCTCATTTATCGTCATATAAAATGGCACTCACCTCACCTCCTCCAGGAAGCTCTCCCTGAACACCTGCACTGATGTACATACTCATTCTTTATACACTTAGAGTGAGTTTTACAAATACCTAGCAGACGGCTGTGCTCTATTTAGTACCCGTCTTACCCACTAAAGAACGGGTTGGCAAACTACAACCCATGAATCAAATGCAGGCCACCACTGTTGTTGTTGTTGTTATGTGCCATTGAGTCCCTTGCGACTCATAGAGACCTTATGTACAACAGCCCTAAACTCTGCTCTGTCCCATGCCAATCGCACTGTCTCTGACACTCCCATCCTGATTACCCCAGTCACTGAATCAATCCACCTCATAGAGGGCCTTCCCCTCCTGTGCTGTCCCTCCACCCTCCCAAGCATGAGAGGTCCTTCTCCAAGGACTGGTCTCTCCTTACAACATGTCCAAAGTATGTCAGACAAGCCTCAGAATCCTTGCTTCCAGGGAGCCGCCTGGTTTGACCCTTTCCAGGATGAATCTGTTTGTTTTCCTAGCAGTCCATGGTATTCTCAATACTCTTCTCCAGCACCACAGTTCAAAGGCATCAGTTCTCCTTCTACCCTCCCTAGTCATTGTCCAACTCTCTGATGCATAACAAGAGATTGCAAAGACCATGGCCTGTATTAGACACACCTTAGTCTCCAGAAAGACACCATTGCTAGATTTTGTAATGCTAAAGATAAGGCCCCGTGCATAGGTTGTGCTCAGTTAGCAGTTTTTAGCACAACCAGTAATACCAAGGAAGAAAGGCCTGGAAATCTGCTTATCTTTTTCCTGCCTAGGTGCAGGTGACTTTGAACTGTCACAGAGGTAGGGGCCCTTGAGCTACAACTCCCAACAGAGTGCAGCACCAGCACTCCCTTCTCTAAAGATTACAGCCAAGAAAACCCGGCTGAGCCCAGTTCTCCCCTGTAGCATGTGAGGTCACTGTGATTTGGAATCAACTTGGGTGTGGTTTTAGTTTATGAGCTGTGGATGGTTTTTACAGGTTTAAATGATAGAAGAATATCCAACGTAGAGTATACATGAACTCTTTGTACTACGTCTACAACTTCTGGTGACTTTTAAAGCATTTAAAAATTAAAACTTATTTTAAAATATCAAAAGGAGCATTTCATGATGTAAAAATGGTACGAAATTCAAATTTCAGTGGAAATAGTGTTTCATTACAATACATCCATGCTCATTGTTCATGTACAGTATGTGGTGGTGTCCCGCTGCAGTGCATGACTTCAGCAGTCATTGCATGAGGCTGAAATAGCAAGTGAAAAAGCTTAGGTGACTGTAATTATGAGTAAGTAATACACATGTTTACCCTTAGACAGGAAGCTGAAAGTATCATCCTGGCCACAGCCCCACCTCCTGACCTCACGTCCAGTCAAGGTCATGGTGCCTCCTGCCACTCTGGGCAGCTCTGAGCTACCAGCAGTGTGTATGTGAGACTGTGTTCTCATGTAGTATGGTGGTTGAGTCTGCTATTTCCATTCCAACCGCAGCCTGGAAATTTCCACTCATCTTTGGAGACTTGCATAGAGACTAAATTAATAACAGCATTCTTTGCGTTTCTGTAGAGTTGTAAGGCTGTGTGTGCGTGTGCTTGCGTGCATGTGTATGATCTTTAATGTTTCTTTTTTAGGTGTTCAAAGACAATTGCTGTAAAAGGGAAGTCCTCAATTTGTATGTATTTTGTAAAAATGCTCCAGGATGTAATGCCAAGGTTACTCTGGGACGATACCAGGTTGGTATTACTCATGAACACTCTTCATCTTTAGCATTTTCCCAGTGACATATATTGAACTCCTTTATATTGTAGGGGTTTCAGTGGGCTTTGTCAAAAAGTTCAGTCCAGTAACACAGTCAGCTACAATAGGGCATGCCAGGACCATGGTGGAGGTGGGGAAATGCCACATGAACTCGTGGAGGACATACTTGTATGTCAGACAGTAATTGCGGATGAGGGATCAAAACATAGAAAGAGAAAGTATGGATTGTGCTAGGCAAAAGCAATGTTCTAACAAGAGGACATGTCACATTGAGAAAGCCATGAAGGGTTTGGAGGGTGTATCGTGTATAGATTGCAAAGATCTGGTAGACAATCTGTTGTGGGGATGGTTCAGGCCATTGCGTATGCAGCCACCTTGAGTTGAGGGTGAACTATTCAGCAGCCTGGGAGTGTGGAAGTGTGGGAGCAGGAGGATGGTGCGATCTGAGATGTGTTTGCGTCTGTTCGTCACCACAAGCTGTGGTGGGTGTTTCCCAGCAGCTGCATGCCATGTTGTACTGATCTACTGTCAAGATAGCAGGCAGCAGAGCAGAATTTGGATGTGAAGGGGAGTTAGTTCCTTTCATGTGAAACTACACCGCCTTGCTCTTCCCTCCAGTAGGAGAAGTGGGTCGTTAGTAGAAAACTGCACTCTCACTTTGGCTCTTTCCAGAAACAGTCTTTACAGAAAAGCAGCGAATGTACTGGCTCTGCCACGTGGCTCGTGTCGGAGCTCATCATGCTGAGAATGAGTAAGACTGAGGCTTCCAGGGAATGGCTTGGAGGCGGCTCTGATTTCCCCCTGCCGCCTACACACTTTGGAAGGCAGATTTAAAGTGATTCAGCCTTTCTCTGTCACCTCCTGCCCACCTCCTCTTTAGGAACTGGAGTAAGAACTTATTCTGTTAACTCAGAAAATTTTTTGCAGGTTCAGGACCTGTGCTTTTAGATGACAGCTCCTCAGTCCCTCACTGCTTGTTTTAAGTATCAAGTCCTGGGGGTAGGGGGGACCTGTTTCCCAACTTTGTTGTCATTCAGATGGAAAGGAAATGAGACTCAAAAATGTAGCAGTGAGAAGCTCTGTTAACCAGATCACAAACTTCAGGAGAACAGGGGCGCTTTCTCTCCCCTGTGTCGTCTGCATTGTCCTGTCATCCTTACCCACCCTCGTCCAAAGTGAGCTGTTGCGTCTCAGTGGCAGAGTCTCGAATGACAGCTGTTTAGGTAAGCTGAGAGGGTCACATCAGTGAATTTTGGATGTGTGTTTCACTTGTCCCCATTTGCTTCTTGTTGTTTGTGTTGTGTATTGTCGAGTTAGAACTGACTCATAGCTGACCCTCCAACAGATTTCAGAGGCAGTTAATCACACGAGCTGGTGGCCTCGAACCACGTGCCTTCAGGACTGCAGTGCAGCTTCTTGCCACTAGGCCACCAGAACTCCCATCATTTGCTTCTTACCGTATATAAATGCATATGCTATTCAAACAAATATATGAGAAAAGTTCACTTTGTACTTCTTGAAACGGTTTCTGACTTTTATATCTGCACTTCCTCATATTTGAGTTGTATTCATTATCTACTGTTTTCTGTCTGAATCTTCAGATTTCAGCCTCAGAGATGATTTCTCAGGTCCAGGTACAGACTCAACCCTCTGTGTCTGTGGGTTCTATACCCAGTGGCTCAGCATACTCAGATTAAACCAATGTCAGATTAAAAATACCCAGGGAGCTGAGCAAGCCATTAAGTGGTCAAAGGAATCCTTCAAAGGCCAAGAGGTATCATAAAATGCTATTTTTCTAGTGGCTTCCACCTCCTAAACAGCATGCCTCTGGAAACTCTATGAACTTTGATAAGGGACTATAGTTGTAGAGGGGCTTCAGGTCTTTTGTTCATAGGGTCACTGAGTCGTACTTGACTCGGTGGCATTCAACAACAACATTAGATACTGTAAGCGGTCTAGAGATGACTTAAAGCATGTGGCTGACTATGGAAGTTATATGCGAATATGGTGTCATTTTATACAAGGGACTTGAGCATCCTCAGATTTCTGCCATCCTTCAAGGTCATGGAACCAATCTTCTACAGATATAAAGGGACAATGGAAATTATTTTAGTGGGAAACACTTGACTTTTCCTTTCACGATAGGTTTCCACTTTACTCAGGTGCCAACTTTGGCAGGTTTCACCACATATTGTTTATTTCTTTCACTGTCAAAATTTTTTGTTATCCTTTCTTCTACAGCAGAAGTAAGCAAACTTTTTCTGTAAAGCACAGACGGTACTGTCTTGGGCTTTGTAGGCCCTAGAGTCTCCATGGTGACTATTCAGCTCTCCTGTATTAGTGGAAATGCAGTCAAAGACGATATGCGAAAATGGGAGTGGCTGCTATCCAATAAAACTTGCTTAACACAAGCAGGTGATGGGCCAGATTTGGCCCAAGGCTGGCCTGCCAACCCCTGTTTTAAAGAATCTTGCAAGGAGATAAATCCAGTAGTGTTTTTATACTGTGGACATCCCCAAAATTTACAGTGATCCAAAGCTTTATCCTGAGAAGCACTTCCTTTTAAAAATCTGCAAATGTGGAAAACCATCCTGATCATCCTCATGTTCTGGTTATGAGTATTCTCAGTTTCTCTCAGGTCTATGGTCCTATATTTCTTCCATTTCCTTTTCTGGCGCATCTCTGAAACAGCTACCTCTCTATTCTTTGCCTGTCCTTTATCCTTTTGCTTCCTCGTTTAGTTAGATTTACCTTTTACTTCCCTCTTTCCCCAGGAGCCCTAGGAACATAATGCGTTACAGGTTGGGCTGCTCCTCAGCCAGCCAGCAGTTAGAATCCACATCTGCTTCTTAGGAGAAAAATAAGGCAGTCTCCTCCCATTAATATCCACAGCCTTGAGAAAACGGCTGGGCACTTCTAGTCTGTCCTCCAGAGTACTAAGAGTTGCCTGTGACTTTACAGCAGTGAGGAGGTTAGTTTGTGGTGGGGGTTTTTTCCTCTCATTTATTTTCCCCCTTGTACACAGACTTACCATCTGGGCATGGAGATGGGGAGCATGCATGAGCAGCTCATCAGTTAGCTGGCAATCTGTGTAAACAGTTTTTTTTTCTTTTAAATTTTATTAGTAATAATGAACATTTACAGGGATTTTGGGTTTTCATTCCTTCATTGCTGTACCATTCTCTCTACCCTCTTCCCCAGTTTGTTCTTCTTCCCCCGCCCTCCGAATGTCTGTTTTAATTGTCCA